TAGACGCCGCATGTCATACCTCTGATCCGCAGGAAGGAGCATTTAGGCAGATATAATCGTTTTTCTCATATAGAGACCGAGAGGGAGAACTCGTGTAGGGACATTTGTTTTCAAGCTCTGAACGCTGATGAACCTTCTCAGTCACTTCAAACCCCAAAAGACTTCATTGATCTGTATAGAATCGTTGCATATCCCCAATGTCGTTCGTTAGACAACAGGTTATGTAGCGGGTAAACCTGACTCCACAGGTCTACTGTGTTGACACATCCTTGCGCTTGTGTCGCTGATGACGGAAATACCAAATGGGGCTTGTTTATTTTCATTCAATGATGTAAGCTTTAGCACGTTGAGGATAGATGTTTATATGTAAATATATCTCAGTCTTGAAATCTGGTGACTGGAGGTATTCACTTAACGCCTTCGTGTTCGGAAGAATTGATTATGGTCCTCTTTCAAACACACGGGTCGTAGCGCAGCAATAGATTCTATTATTGACCAAAAAGTTGCCAAGCTTTTCCCTCGACCTAGAACATCGGTGCGATGGCCCCGTGAATGCCCAACGTTGCTTGAAGCGCTAGAGTGAGAGCTTACATTAACAATCGCGCCTCCACGACCTGTCTCCCAAACTGGGCGGCATTTCGCACCATTCCTTCCAATGTCAGCAGCGTCTAACTTGTGGCCGTTTGGTTTTCCACTTCAATATACTACGCATGCACCAAGGTGTATTTGAGTGGATTCAGTTGCCTCTCAATTTTAGTAGCAAAGATGTTTCAGTCTTTTTTATGATTCCGTTTACCCAGTCGGCACTCTGTTGTTAGAATCGGTGCCTTTCGGATGGGGCAAAAAGCCAGCAAGGCTCCACAGTAGCAGAATCCCATACTGAACTAATTTTTGGTGAATAGCACATCAGACTGCGTGGGAAATTTCATCCAACTTTAGTGGTGGAGAGGTGTAATTAGCTTTCGAAAAGCAACGGAATATCTTGTCTTTGGGAAATGGACCCTTGGTTTGCATGGGCCCATTTTAAGGATATATCGTTTTGATATTGCGTCCTCAATTTTTCAAAATTAGTTTGCCCGATCAGGATCCCCGGAAAAATGCTCCAGAGGAGTAATTGCAGGACACATCATGGATCCTGGGTCTGAACGTTCACCCGTAAAGGAGTAGCGTGAGGAGGGAGACCTGTTGCTGCTTTCATTCCCAGTGTGTCCGGTAAACTTCTCACCTTTGCGGCCGCAGCAGGTAAAGTAGCCGAGGGGAGGGGTGGCGGCTGGTCAAGCACGTCAGGCCTTGGCTGTTCCTCTAGACGAGCAGCTAGCAGCCTGCTGAGTTCGTCCCTATTATTATTATTATATTAGTATCTAATATAGTGTATTATTATCATCATCATCACTCACAGCCGAGAGACAGAAAAGGAAATAAGCTAGGCGGCCGAGCTACACGAAGTAACAACAACCATATGATGTCAACATTTACCACAAACTCACATTTTCTTGTTGACAGTGTGTGCCCGTGATTGTAGCCTACCTGTAAATCTGGCTAACCCCCACTAACGTGTTGCGGGCTGGGGCTCGGGGATGAAACACGGCTGGCAGTGGCAACAACTTCAGGTTCATCTCCCGCAGGAGGAGGAGTAGGGCGAAAAAAATATCCATCTAGCTTGGACAATTTGGCTTTTCCTTGGTCCTTTTTATCTTTTTCTTTGCGTTTTGTAGCTCCACTTTTGTGTTTATAACTGCTCATGCTTAGGCAGTGCTCTGTTGAATGACAATTGATTGATGATGACGTTGACTTTCATTTACGTATGATGTTGATGGACGGCTGTTGATGACGATTTTACCCAAAATACATTTGGAGACAATAGAAGGGATTCACTTGCAATTTTTCATGTTTTAATGTTAAATGTGAGTGTGAAAATAGCAGCACAAGTTCAACTCATATTATAGGCTACAATGCTTTATACCTAATATGACCACGAACGTCAGTGCACTCAGTGGCGCGAGGCAGCAGGGCCCGCCGGCGAATATCTCGGGGGCGGAGCCTGCTGCCTCAGCGACGGGCCCCCATTGGGTACCGACCGTCCCGGGCCCGGGGAGCCCTGCCCCTACAGCCCCCCCTGAAGCTCCGCCCCTGCGAGTGAGCCAATTCTTACTTTTCTTCCATCGAGCTGTCATTGGTTTTGTGTTTAGCTAGGTGCATTATTGAGAACAATACAGACGAATAAGATCCTGGTAAGCTTCTAAAATGTTATAAGTGGACCCTTTAACCGTGCACAGCTAATATTAGTAATGGTATGGCTGCTGTAATGGTACCGTATGAACTGAGAAAAACATAACAGAACTCTGCACTGCTGTGAATGTGTTCCCAGTGTGAGCAGGAGAGTGTGCTGGAGCAGCGGGAGCAGCAGTGCCTCCTGGAGGCCGAGCGGCTGCGCTGCGAGCGAGAGGAGCTGGAGGCTCAGCTGCAGGAGTACCAGCAGAACCTGGACCGCCTGAGGGAGGGCCAGAGGAGCGTGGAGCGGGAGAAGGAGCAGGTCGAAGCCCAGCAGAGGCAGCTGCAGAGGTGGAGACACACCCGCCAGAGCAGCCTGCCTGTCAGCATACCGCTGGACGTATACAAGGTAAGAAAGGAACCTGGCCAATATGACAAAATACAAACAAACATCTTGCTTCTGTATGTGGCACTTTCAAAAAAGCTAATGAACCTCCATGATTCTTGCTATTTTGAGTTTGCATCTTCATTGCACTTGAAAGTCGCTTTGGATAAAGGGTCAATGATATGTAATGTAATGAAGTTGGGGGGCTGGAAGAGGAGGATAAGTTGAATGGAAAGGGAAATTGTTTATGTAGATCCGAGCATTAATACCGCAAAAAAGAATCACTGTTAAGCAAAACATGCCACCTCAGAACGTCCATAACATTCATCTGTTTGCAACTTGAATATTCCAATGACTTGTATATAGACTATTCTGCACTATTTCTATTATATTCTATCTTATTTTATTTACTTGCACTATTGTATCTGTTGTATTGTGTTGCACTGTTGGAGGAGCCTGTGACCTAAGATGTTAACTGTCATAACTACACTGTAGCTATGTACGAATGACAATGAAAAGCCTTGAAACTTGAATCTCATATTTTGTGTTGTTTTAAAGTCCCAGATGCCCAGCCACAGCCGCTCAGGCAGCCTGGATGGAAACAGCTCGGTGTTCCAGAACGAGGCGGTTTTACTGGCCTCCCTCCAGCAGAACCGCCTCCACCAGCCCCCCAACAACAACCAGCGCCTGCTCTCTGCGCCCAGGAGGAGCCAGGACATCCCTCTGCGCAGCTCCAGCTACACCGCCAACCTGGGCCTCAGTGCCAGCCTCTACAACAGCCTCAACACCCTGCTGAGCCAGGCCCACAGCAAACAGCCCGCGGAGGGTCTCACATACCCCAACTACAGCAACCCACACGCGGTCCCCCGGCCCCTGAATGTCCACCCCTTCAGCAACAGGATCACTGCACAGCCACAAATGACCAACAACAGTGAGTGTTTTCATATTCCTGCAGGTATATAGTGGACGGCAAAACAAAGACGTGCAGCTGTCTGTCCCCGCCCCCCAGCAACATAGCATGTGTCCATCATCGTGCTGTATGTTAATCTCATCTCAGTTCTATAACCTCCCTCCAAAGCACGATCTTAAGCTTTTCTTTCTTCTTTCAGCAGACTTCAGCCAGTCGTTTGACAGACCATCCCCGGGTGCCTGGAGGTCAGAGGTCACAGGTCACAGACTTTATGAGGACGGCTACTCCTCGTCTCCCTCTCTTACTCCCCTCCTTCCCCCACAGGCCTACCTCTCTCTTGAAGGACAGAACGGGGAGGAGGGAGTCGAGGAGAACATTGTTTATCTCTGAGAAAGAGCAATGCGAGCTGCCTGAGCTAACTGGACCGAAGATAATATATCTGTTGCTTATATGTGTTTGTGTATATGTGTGTATTTGTTTTCAAAACCTGAGTAATCAAACGGGGATAGCTGCGGGGAGGGAGTTTACACAGATACAGTATTTGTGCCTTGATCAGTGTATGGGGGTGGATATTCATTATTCTCTTCCTGTGTCATGAAACCATTGTGCCTTTATGCAAACAAATTCTCCAGCTCTGATACTTGCACCCCACGTTTTTACTTCCACTATGATTCCTTTTAGTATCCGTTGAACTTCGTTGATGGAAGAGGTACATTTAGTGCCAACACTGGGACTTAAAGTACCAGGATATCAGGACAAAAGTATTGATGTTGTTTTCACATGAGCACTTAAAAAAAAAGGAAATATTTGAAAAGCCAATCGAGCCCTTCCCCAAATTATAACAGAGTGCTATTATTTCTCAATATTTATAAGGGATTGTGAGCATCTTAAAGACATACAAGTAAACTGACATTATTGTATAAATAGTAAATATATGTATATTTTTATTGAAAAGCTACCTATGCACACTTTGTTTGAAGAATCATTTAAATTCTTCTTTTTTTTCTCACTTAAGTGCCAAAAATCTTGCTATCTAATACTGAAAGTGATGTCTGTAAAAAATGGCTGTATGTTTTCTGTTCACCACCTTTTCTGATAATTTATTGTGTGTAAATTGCTTCATGCACCGTCAACGTTAATAATATTTTGGTTAGGACACGTGTTCTCTTGTAATCGCTGTAATCAGAATTGTGTTGTGCCATATGGATATGCTATAAAACTGTGTCAAACATCTTTGTGTGTGTGTGTGCATTTTGCCTTGCCTAATACACTACAGGGCAACGTTAGTGTAGCACACCTCTCATTGGTTCATTATTGCTTAATACTAAAAACGTGGTTGTATTGGAGGCTGGCTGCTGTTGACCATTGACTTGTGGGACTTCCAGTCAGTGTGTGTGCTGAACGGCAAGCATGGCACACTGTTTTTTCTTTAAACATTTCTGTATTGAAAGGTGTTTAAGTTTTATAATATATTTTATTGACCTGCTTGGATTGTATTTCATATTTTCTGAGGATCATAGTGGCTGCTGCTTCAACTCTGGTGAGTTTGATGTAAATCTCATCTCCCACATTGAAACTCCTCAAAATGTGATGTAATTTACATGTATTGTGTGTTAGTTGGGAAGCCGCCAAGCCCGAGAATCACTCATCTGCAGGCTCTGGATGACCAGCAGAGCCTCTTGGTGAACTGGATGGTGAACAACAGCAGCTTAGTGGGAGATATTTATGAGATCCAGATCGGCCGCACCGAGAACCACACTGTTATTTATAATGTGAGTACTAGTAGTCTGGGTTTTGTGTTATTAAAAAGCTCTATAGTTGCTTGGGACTATGATACTTATAACAGCATTTAGTGTGGGAATTTTATAAATAATCAAATGCTCCTGTGAAATCCATGTACAATTCTTCCCTATTTTTGCTATTCTTGCTATTCTAGAAAAATCTAAGTATATTTTCTGTGGATCCAGTGGAATATGCATGGACATGGACCTCAGACGTGCCTCTGGGTTGTTTCGATCACTCAGTCAGGATACGACGATTCTATAATCAGTCTGTCCCGAGTCCCTGGAGTAACTGGAAAACAAACAATAGTAAGATGATGCTACTCTTGCACTTTTGTCAGTTGTCAGCGTAAATGAGTTAAACAAAGTTTATAAATGGATATAAAACTGGTTTCTTATGTGCACTTGTTCACTGATAAAATCATCACGTCGTATAAGTGAGTGTTCACTCAGTAAGAGTGTGGCTTTTTTTACTTCCCTTTTCACCAATCTTTGTATCAGTGTTTCTCAACCGCAAATATCTGTTGCAATGCACAGCGGCAACATTATGTTCACCCTCAGTGGCCCTCAGAACATACCAGGGATTAAAGGTACAGCACCCCCGCTCATCTCTCTATTCTGTGACCTGTAGGAACCCAGGTGAAGGATAAGACAAGGATCTTCCCCAACTATCGGGTGCTGAGAGAGAACTCCAGCGCCATGTTCTGCTGTGTTCCCCCTAGAGGAGTTCATGTTACCAGCATGTCCTTCAAACACAGCAAATACCCTCTTATCAGCATTGGAGCGGGGGTCAAGGCAATCACTGTACACAACCTGAAGATCCCAACAGTCCGCTTCAAATACCTTTTAATCTCATGCCATGACACAACAGGCAGGCAGAGTGATGTCTGGAACTTTATCAGTTGTAAGTCTGAAATGTTTTGATGTACTTTCTTCAAATATTTGTGTAATGTTTTGTCCAGATCACTTTTACATCAGTATGTGTCTCTTCACACACTGTAGTTCCTCCCCAGAAGCCCAGTAACATCAGCTGTGTGACCTCAGACATGACAAGTGTCTCTTGCACCTGGGATTCAGGCAGAAAACGAGACGAGAACGACCGCAACACGCAAACACGCACTCTTCACATTGAGTGAGTGTATCACAAATGTATTACTTTTTGCATTTTCTTCTTATCACTGCCATCTGACAAACCTGCATGTTGGAGTTCAGCTTGAGGAACACATTTCTATTTTACTCTGAGAAAAAGTCAATAAATCATAAAATGGCTCCTACTGCATACAGATGAAAAAGCAACCCTAAATATCAAAGAGCTTCAAAGCCTCTTGTTGGATCCATTGTGCAGACAGGCTGAAAGAACACTCTAAACAAGATAAAAAAAGGCAGGAAAGGCTGTTTGTTCTCAAACAATTCCTACAAAGAGTTCTGAAGGATGTCTTATTAGTCTCTTCCCATGCTCTTGTTTGGTGCTGAAAACACAGCAACTCAGACCAGCCTCCCTTCAACTGTGAACAGTCGTCTTGTACTTTCCCCGCCATCCCTAACTTGAAGGAATACAACATCCGTGTGGTGGTGAAGGACCTGCTGGGAGAGGAGACGGAGAGCTACAGCTTCAACATCTCTGACAGAGGTCAGAGGCCACACAGGCATCTAAACAAAATACATGCACACATTATATTGTTGCAATTATCACTTGAAGATTAACCTCATCACACATGTTAATTCATGTGTGTTTTTTGTTGCCGTTAGTGTCACCTGTGGTGGAGTTGGAGAGAGTGAGCCTCGGGGCGACACACACCACCGTGTCCTGGATCGTACATGGGAACTTGACCCGACTGAACCTCCTCTGTCAGGTCACTGCAGACCCAGGAAGTGCCACCAAAGTGTGTTCAATGCTTAACCGTTTATATTGCAGGAATTAAAGTGTTTTTTTGCATTTTTTGTATCATTCTTTCTGTGTGTTTGTGACAGCTGAGGTGCAATAGTGTGAGTGGTCAATGCAAAGTCACATTGGAACATCTGTTACCTAACACCCCCTACTCTACCAGAGTGCGCTGCTCTGTGGACGGTCGGCTCTGGGGGGAATGGACCAAGCCTAGATCCTTCAAAACCTGTGAGTACTAAACATGTGTATAAGCAGGGTAGTGGGATGGTGTATAGGGTGTGGTTATGTCAAAGTGTTATTCAGTTAAGACAATGGTCAGCTGAGCAAATGATATAAGTCCCGCATATCAACAAGTTGGTTTAAGGCCGGGCAATAAACCCTTAGTTGTACAGTTTTAGCACTTACAATGACTGAACAATTACTGGTTTGGAACGATTGTTCTTATAATAATAAAATATGCGGAAATAATAAAAAAATACCCTTCCTAGTCACAGGTGATGTGTTAAGTGCTTTGTTTTGCCTGTCCGAAAGCAAAAGATATTCAGTTAAAAAAAGAGAAAAGCAGGAAATCTCCATATTTAAGAGATATTTTCAAACATCTTTGCATGCCAAATACTAACCATTCATTATTAAAATAGTTGGCATTTATTTTAATGCCGTAAACAAATAATCTTCATGTCTTCTCCTCAGATCCGTTGGTGACCTTGGATGTATGGAGGAGAATGAAGCAGCTGTCCGACCCAAACAGTCGTGAAGTTACTCTTCTGTGGACTCATGTGAGACTCTATGCTTGTCTAATATTCTCCAAACGTCTATGTTGGCATAACAGCACAGAATGTCTGGTTAAATCATAGGAAATAAATGTCACCACATGATGCATTTTCCAACTTTCACACCCACTTGTTTTCTCAGGATGTTCCTGACTCAGCAGCCACGATCAAAGGTTTCATGGTTCAGTGGTCGCAGGGAAGTCTAAACTGGACTGAGTGGAAGGACAGTGGACAAACCCAGGCGCAGGTCTCCATTAATCTGGGACAGTATGAGTTCACGGTCCGGGCTCTTCTCCACAGCGGCTCCGCCATCCCAGCTCACATCATCATCCCCCAGAGGGACATCGATGGTGAGCAGCGAGGACTCAGCTGACATTCTCTTGGTTCATTGTTGGTGGAGTTTTCAACTTAACATTGTATGAAAATGTTTTTTTCTTAATCTTTTATCCTACCAACTTGAATCCCCACATGTATTGGGGTCCATGGGGAAGCAAATGTGCTGTTTATATGCAGTTCAATAGATAAAATAGAATACACAAATAACATATTTGCAACAGACACAGATTTCAGCTTGACTTTTTTCACTTTTACACAATATGCAACTGTCACTTGATTTTTTTTTAGATTAGATAACATGTTTTCTAATTCTGATTGATTTAATAAATAATAATGTTTTTAGTATAATTAAGTTAACCTTTTATGTTAAATATGTCTGTAGGATGAAACCTATATTCCTTTTTGAATTGACCGTCTCTTAAACTCTTCTTGCTTTAACACCACAGTCTGCCGCTAAAAATGCATGTCTCTCTCCAGAAATCCTCCTGGTAAAGAGGCGTTTGAGCAGCAGCCTTGCTGGTTTTAATCTGACCTGGGATGAGCTTGATACAGTCACCTGTGGCTACACTGTGGAGTGGTGCATTCTGGGAAACGCTGTGCCTTGTAATGTGCAATGGCTGAATGTCAAACAAGGAAACAAAACATTGTTCCTACCTGCCAGTAAGTCTCTTTGTTGGTATTTTCCTGCACATGCATCCTTCACGTGTTTTTCAAATGTTGTCATTGACGGTCACTTCTTTATTTTGCAGGCAATTTCAAAGCAGGTTGTAAGTATACATTTAATATCTATGCATGCACAGAAAATGGACACAGACTACTGGAAGTACAGAAGGGATACTCACAAGAGCTTAGTGAGTGTTATTACTGATTCATAAGTTGTTCTGGAAATCTGTCTCGTCTTGTGTTTATGTTGCTCTGAGGGTTTCTTTAGGAGGTTAATCAGGTGTTCCGTCATCTAGTACAAAAGTCTGAGGTCTGCTTTTAGAGCTGAGGTCTCAACAGACAAGTTTTGAGTGCATGCTTTCAAAATAAATAATTTAATAAAGCATGACAGCTAAATTTAATACGGATGTCCTTATCAGAAGACCTTTTCCAGATGTCATCTAAACACAAGACATCATGTTTCCTGTTCCTTTTCATTTCCTAAATTAAAAAAGATATCAAATTGAAACTTTTGCAGCAGATTCTGAAATCTTCACAACAATGCAGGTGTAACATGAAATGTCCTTCTAGATTCATGTATCATTTAGGAAGGTTAGTTATTGCTTAAAGTCAGCTGTTTTAATTCTAATGAACTGTATCTGTCTTCCTTCCTCAAAAAACGACTTTCCTCAGAATCTGTACAGTCCCCGATTCTGGTTGAACCTGTTCAGAGTACTTCCTCATCTGTGACTCTGGAATGGAGTTACAATGAGGACGATCCGGCTCACACGGCATTCATCACTGGTTACCTGGTAACAGGACAAGAAGCAGGGACTGATACACCGCCGGGTCATGTTCAAAGTAAGTGTGGAGGAAAGCTTCAACTGTTAATAATTATTCATCCTGATCTGTTTCTGTGCTCAAAAAGAAAGCATGTAAAGTATGACTGATACATGAAACAAGGCATTTGTGTACATCTAGATTTGTTCAACGTGTCTGTGGCAGACCCTCGGAGGAAGTCTGTGACCATAGAGGGTCTTCAGCAAGACCACAAATACCTTTTCTCTGTGAGCGCTCTCACTAAGGGGGGGCCTGGACTATCCACCAGTATTACCATCAGGACCAACACCAACTGTGAGCTCCATAACGTCCGGTGCAATCCTGGATTTACAACAATTTATTGATTTAACCATTGTCATTTCTCATTCAATCTTAAAAAGTTCTCAGATTCCATTACAAAGACTTGAATAAATGACTTGAACTGCTCATCCTTTCTCTCTCTTGGAAGACTCTGCTCACCTGGCCAAGATACTGACTCCCATGTTGTTACTGTTGGGCTGCATCATTGCACTGTGGCCTCAAAGAAAAATGTGAGTAGTTTGATCTTTTAACCTTCACCTAAATGTTAATTTCTAAATGGTAATGCTGAATCTCTCCCTCTCTCTTCAATCTTCTAATGTTCTGTTTCTCTTCCAGTCTGAAGAGCGGGCTGAGAGAGATGTTTGCTTACCCGGCTGGTATGAACATAAAAACTCCTGAGTTAGACAGTTTCCTGCACGAGGTAAAGACACACCGCTGAAATAGTCAAATCATGAGTAAACAGAACTATTATTTATTCCCATAATAATAATAATAATAATAATAATAATAATAATAATACATTTATTTTGGGGGGTGCCTTTCATAACACCCAAGGAGTCGGACACCTTACAGGGCATAGGGGCAATATAGGGAAAAATGTCATTTCATCAATACAGTTCCAAATTGGTCTATGAACAATTCCTCATTTTATAATTGCTGACATTAACACATTTGAGTTGTAACACACACTCTAGTTTTGGATTAGGGCGAGTTTCTCATGTTTGGACAGTCTTCGACCACTTTAAGGGCGTAGTTCTCTGACAATGGCAATGTTACCCAGGGCAATTCAAGGTGTGAAAAAACTTCTGATTAACAGAAGCCATTTTAAACTTGGAGTCTGAATAGAAGTGAACAAAGAAAGTTCCTTAGAAATTCTAATTAGAGCAAAATGCACAACCAAGCCATTACTTTACAGGCCGTAGTTAACCCATGTGTAACTCTTTTCAGAATCAGAATCTGAAATAGAAACAGGTTTAATACCAGGTAGGTTAACACATACGAGGAATTTGACTTGGTGTTGAAAGATAATTAAAAACACAGATAGAAAACTATTTGAAGAAAACCATAATAAACCATATAAAAATATAGTAAAATATAGCAGTATTTACATTGAACATGATTGAAATTGTAGAAATTGAATTGGAATAAAATATGTGCAGTAATGAAAAACGAAATAATTATAAACATTGTGTACATTAAAGGGGACCTATCATGCAAAATGCACTTTTTGATGTCTTTTATACATAAATATGTGTCCCCGGTGTGTCAGGGAACTCACAAAATGTCAGAAAACAAAACCCTCTCTCTTTTCCTCCGTACCCAAATCTCTAACGGAGCTGATCCAGATTTGCGTCCGATATGACATAATATCGGAAATGTGGACCTACAGCACTATCAGAGACGTTGCTATCAGAAACGTTTCTATCAGAAACAATGCCCCACAGTTTTGGTCGTAATATGGTATTTGTTTACATTAGCAAGCATCGCTAACACTCAGAGCTAACCTGTAGCTACTGGAGAGAGCATGTGTAAAAAAGCAGGAAATAAAAAAAGGACTGGGCTGAAATAGAGGGGTATGAGGGATGTCTAAAATGCATGATCTGTTTGGTATTTTGAGCAAAACACATCATAGACATGTCTTTTATATATTTGTATATATCTGAAACCCACAATATATGCCTAAAGAAAGCATGATAGGTAACCTTTAATGTGATGCACACATTTTGCCTTGCATCATTAAGATCCCCTCTGTTTGCACAGACTGGGGAGAGGCTGCAGGCTCTGAAGGTGGAGGAGTGCAGCACCTGTGACATAGAGATCCTGAACACCAGACCTCTTCTGAAGGAAACATCTGCACTGAGAGACCCTGCTCCCCTGAGCACACCGCCCTCTCCTGCTCCCCTGAACGCACCGCCCTCTCCTGCTCCCCTGAACGCACCGCCCTCTCCTGCTCCCCTGAACGCACCGCCCTCTCCTGCTCCCCTGAACACACCGCCTTCTCCTGCTCCCCTGAACACACCACCCTCTCCTGCTCCCCAGTCCTTTGCTCCAATCACACCCCTCTCCAGTGTCCTGCTTGAAACAGGCTACTGTCTACAGTCAGTCACAGTGCTCAGAGACAGACCAGACGTCGAACAGATGACATGCATCAACAACAACAACACTTTTTATCACACCGTGGAGGAGGATTCATCTGAGGCACAACAACTCATGTTCTCTGAAATCAAATCAAGCTTTGAGCCTTCTGACAGTGTGCATGATTCGTGTAGTGTTATCTATGGTTATATTTCCAATAACACTTTATAAGTATGAAGTCAAAGATCAGGCCCAAAATGTCTGTCATATATTTTTCGAGGGTGTACATACTATAACACGTTTATGTAAATATGAGGCTTTCTAATGACAATATTAATGCATACGTGCTTGTAAAGATGTATCTTGTCTTATATAGAGCAGGAAACTCAGGAGGTTATATTTCAACAACTTGTGTTTTCCGCCTAAACTAAATTTAGAAGTCAAAGTAGGCCTAATGCAGCAGCTAGAGATGTAATCTACGGGATGCAATGGCGGCACTGATAAGGCAGCCAAACATGTGCATCTTTCTTTAATTTGTATGGTAATATCAAAATATATTTTTGAATATCCAACACTGCAAGAGCAATGTTTTTTCCTCTGCAATTTTAAAAACAGGTTTAGATCATCAACTATGAATGACCTTTTAAATATATGTTATGTATGATCGCCAGAGCTGATATAAATGTCAAAGTTGTGGCTAATATTTAGGTTTAGGTATAAATACTATAAGGTGTATTAGAGTAAATGAAATCCCAAATGATGCACCATAATTATAATTGGCTCATGCCGCTCCCATCCACCTGTGCAGCTACATCTTAATTATTTGCCAATCTGTCCTAATGTTTTAAAAAGAATGTATGCATTTGATATGATATGGTCAGTTTAGTTTTATTTGTTAGTTACGGTATCTCTGCTTTGACTTTCACCAAATCACATTCCCATTCAATGACTTCATTTAGCTCCGCTCTGTAGTTTCTTTTTTAAGTACCAGGACTGGTTCTGAACACCAGCGCCAGTCCTCTGCTCGGAGGCAGGCAGGTACTCAACCAGCTGAAACACAAAGCACGTTAAACTCGGTGGCTGCTGTATGAGCTGATGAAATAATCTGAGAAAAATGTTTCAAAAGGCTGAGTTTTCTGCAAAAATCTATTGCAACATTTGTTTCTCATACCAAAGCTTAAGGTCAATTAAAATTATGCCATGAAACAATGGAAGAAAAATGATAGTCATTGAAGCTTCAATACATTTTTGACTTAGTCACATATAAGCATTTACAGATATTCACATTGATGTAAAAAAGTTACAGTTTATTAGAGAGACTCAAAAGTCATACAGTAGTTACAACATTCTGATTTTAGTGTGGATTTCAAAGAAGACAATAGAGGATAATATAAAACAAAATCATAGTCAGTTTTCTAATTCCAAAGTGAATGCTGTCTAAATACCCAGGGAGAGCTGTTTGGCTGATAGTCCTTATAACACTCTGGCAGCATTAGTAGTGTACCTAAGAAATCTTAAAGAAATGAGAACAGATAAAAATAGAACCCATAAAAGAGGACATATTTAAATGCAACTGTACAAAACATGCAGAAGAATCCACATAAACTAAATTGACCACAATCTCTCTATCAGACACAGCTTGTTGGTCCCTCAGTAGTGCAGAGTCACAGACAAATCAGCACGATCTGACCTGCCAAACAAGTGTTGGACATCAACATGGAGCTCTGAGTCAACAGGAGCCCCCAGCAGACCGCTGAGGGAACACATCCACTCAGCTTTTTGTGATTTGACCTTGCACCTATAAGAAGGATCTTCTTCAGCAACATGTTGTCACTCTGGTGCTTTTCTCTGGGCTGTGTTTGCTCTCAGATTTTAGTCCGCACCATTAAGATCCAAACAGCCAGTCTTCACACAGACGTCCTCTGTTTTACTCTCATCCTCACCTTGCAGTGCTTTCTGAAAGACAATAACAAACAAGTGGTTGTTAGATCGCCTACAAACATATCCCGGATGTTGTCAAGCACCTGCGGCCGACATACTGCACCTCAGACAACATTCCCTCTCGCCTTCACAGAGATGTTTTCAAATCAGTTGGAGCAAGTATTTTATTACTAATGAACACCTCTCTTAGCTCAGGATGTGTCCCAGCTGCCTTTAAACATGCCGTGGTGCAGCCATTACTTAAAAATGACTACCTTTTGTATCTAAAGTCCTGGAGCGAGTAGTCTATGCCAAGCTGCAGTCGTTCTTAACCATGCATGGCATTCACGAAAAGTTTCAGTCTGGCTTCAATATGCACAGCACTGAAACAGCCCTTTTAAGAGTTTTTTAATGATCTGCTCCTAGCCGCCGACTCAGGTAGCCCAGCTGTCCTGGTGCCGTTAGACCTGACCGCTGCCTTCGACACTGGACCATAGCATCCTGTTGTCGCGGCTTGAACAGTCCGCAGGCATCACAGGCTCTGCCCTTGCATGGTTCAGGTCCTACCTGACAGACCGTAGCCTCTCAGTGCAGCTAGCTGCCTTCTCCTCTGCCAAAGCCCCTCTTACCTGTGGGATTCCCCAAGGCTCGATTCTGGGCCCCATCCTCTTTCTACTGTACATACTGCCCCTAGGTTCAATTCTCACAAAACACAACATCCCCTTCCACTGCTACGCCGACGATGTACAGATCTATCTGCCTCTCAAAGCACATGCCAACTCATTACAGCAGTTGATGAACTGCTTAGCAGAGATCAATCAACTGATCAAATCAACTGGCCGCCGACTGGAGCGGCTTTGCAAGACCACCGGACTCTCAGTTCACACGCAAATGCACTCGGATCACCTTCACCTCTACAAGAACGCACTTTCCAATGCCAAGTCCTCATATTACTCCAACCTCATCAGCACTGGTAACAACAGAGTTCTTTTCTCCACAGTCAGTCACCTACTTCAGCCTCCTCAAACCCTTCCTCCAGATATCTCCATTGACCAATGTACTGACTTTCTGCAATTTTTTCACTCCAAAATCAACACCATTCACCTAGAGCTGGCCTCAGCATGCACCTCCTCAAGTGATCCACCCTGGATGTCTACCACTGGTCCATCACTCATCAGCTCCCTCTCCATCTTTACCCCAGCATCGGAATACACCATCTCAGAGCTCATCCGTAAAGCTAAAACCACCACCTGTCAGCTTGATCCTCTTCCCACCACCCTGGTCAAGGCTTGCCTACCAGCCATATCACCCATGATCACTGACATAATTAACTCCTCCCTCACCTCCGGAATTGTACCCACCTCCCTCAAACTGGCTGCAATCACTCCCATCCTCAAAAAACCCGGTACTGACCCAGTCGATCTAAACCACTACAGGCCCATCTCCAACCTACCCTTCATTTACGTCAATCACCCCTGGGACCCACCACCACACACCTAAGTGGTCACTTTTCCGTAGAAAGAACACTGAACCCTAACTCGGACATACCAACATAGTTTGACCAAAGACACGGATAACTCCACATTACAAAAAACAACACACTACTCGTAATAGGTACAAACCATTCTCCACGTCGATCGTCAATAGGGTCCACAGCGTCACATCAAACAACCCACTCTCTCACCATGTGCTGTACGTCGCGACTCCAGTTCCTCCTACTCTCTACCACTCTTCAGCGCCTCAGTCGCGTACCTGCCTCAAGCGTACCACTAAATTGCCGTCCCGACAAAGTATTGAGGCACAAAAACCCCGCCTTTGGTTTCTACCTTTCCCAAGTTACCTCCACAAACACACGTTCTTACCCTGACTTCGGACACGGCGTTGGGGTTGGNAGCTAGGTGCCTTCTCCTCTGCTAAAGCCCCTCTTACCTGTGGGGTTCCCCAAGGCTCTATCCTGGGCCCCATCCTCTTTCTACTGTACATACTGCTCCCAGGCTCAATTCTCACTAAACACAACATTCCCTTCCACTGCTACGCCAACGATGTACAGATCTATCTGCCTCTCAATTCAAATGTCAATAACTCATTACAGCTATTGACGGACTGCTTAGCAGAGATCAAATTCTGGCTGAGCAAAAATATCCTTAACCTCAACGAGAGCAAGACAGAGGTAATCTTTTTTGGACCCCAACCTCCAGCCTCCCCGGTTGATATTCTGGGCTCTCTCAATAAAAACATCCTCCCGTCTCTTATGAACCTTGGAGTGACCTTCAATAGTGCTTTTAAATTTGATAAGCAGGTCAGCTCCATAGTCAAAACATGCTTTTTTTTTTTAAATAAGACTATTGGCCAAGACCAAGTAGTTTTTATCTTTTAAAGAACTAGAAAGGGTGATTAATGCCTTTGTTACCTCAAGACTGGATTACTGCAATGCTCTGTATGTGGGTATGGACCACGCCTCAATTAAACACCTGCAGCTAGTCCAGAACGCAGCTGCGCGTCTTCTGACTGGACACAAAAAACGTGACCACATCACCCCAATTCTGGCCTACACTGGCTTTCAATTTGGTTCTGAATTGATTTTAAACTCATTTTATTTGTTTTCAAAGCACTAAATGGGCTGACTGCGGCTTAATATATCCAAACTTCTCCATCGCCACACCCCAGCCAGAGCTTTAAGGTCGGCTGACCAGCTGCTGCTGATAGTGCCCAAGACCAGGCTCAAAACCCGAGGGGACCGAGCCTTCGGAGCAGCTGGCCCTAGGCTCTGGAACACTCTGCCCCTCCATGTGAGGTCGGCCCAGACCCTAGGGGTTTTTAAATCCTCACTAAAGACACACTTCTTCTATCTGGCCTTCTAGTCAAAGCTAAGTACGACTCCGGACATTTCCCTATGTTTTGTTTTTATATTTCTGTTGTAAATTATTGTCTTTTCTTGTTATTGTAGTAAAGTGTTTTTATTACATGTACAGCACTTTGGCTCGACCAATAATCGTTTTTAAATGTGTTCTATAAATAAAACTTGATTTGATTTGATATCCCAATTTAATATGAAGTGGAAAAAGTGCCGATCGTGCAAGGTTATTGGTCTTTCTTTGATGAGCTGGGATACAAAGTCCAGACATGTGACACTAACAGGCAGGTGACCAAATGACAGTTTCAAGAACGCTGTGTCAACAAAATGTAATTGTTACCTTTGTGGAGGCGACACCATGCACTTCCAGAGGACAGCGTAGAGAGCAAGTAGAAAGGCAATGAACACTGTGGCTGCAATGGCACCTAAAGCCACAAAAACAGACTTGTTATTACACAACAATAATCATGCCAATACATGAGAACACATGCACGATATGCAGGGTTGCATGATTCGTTGTATCTTCTGCAGAAATAATTTGTTTACCTACTTTTCATCCTGGTGATATAAGTGAACCGGTTCTTTCACAGAAAACTTTCATGCTTTTAATTGACCTATCAATCTCCCCTGCACTGTCATGCATCAAATAAACAACTGGGGTATCTTTTTGGTGCTTTGGGGATTTCTCCTCTTCTGTAAATGTCATCTTTCAGAGCTCTGCAGCCTGCCTTCATAATATTACTGGACACTGTGGGGCCTGAGGAATTTCACTGCACTTTACCAATATCTGGTTTAGTGACCTGACACTAATGGAAGCGTTATACACTTATGAATATGTCTGATGAAAACGCTGCTCTCAAAAGGGAGTATATTTAAAGATATATTGGTGTTGGCAAACAAAAATAACCCCCAGCAATTTGGTCATACTCCAATAAAAGATCTGGCAAATAAAATGTTTTGGAATTGTGTTAAGCTTGCTTTGCTGCTGGTGGTTCAGCTCAGTTCTCCTCTGTTTGTGGGCTGACCCCTGAGGGAAATACACTTTGTTTGCTGTTAACCCAAGTCAGGTGTTTCTCTCCGAAACAGGTCGTGCAGGGTCTGTAAAGACATCAGATTTTGTCACCTGGGATGATTCCACTGCTGCTAGTTAAAGAGTCCTCTGTGTGTGAAGGACGAGTAGCAGCTGCAGTTGAACCTTTTAAGGGGGAAAAACATATTGACAAATAACTGCCAACAGCGCTAATATAAAACGCTGTGAGAGATACATTTGCCTCATAATTTTGAATTAGTGGTATTACTTTACAACTCAGTGACTCT